ATCCGGTGGAGGCGCACTGACCCGACCCGCCAGTACCCTCGACGAAAACGGGCAAGTTGTACCCGTCGACGAGGCTGACGTCATAGAAGTCCTGACCGCCGGTGCCGAGAGTGAACTCAGCTAAGGTCGCCGGCGGGGCGGCTCCGGCGCCGTTGCACTCAACTTGGCCGGAGCCGCAGTCGCCGGTGGTGCAGGACCCGGACCCGGATCCGTCGAAACTGCAGCCGGTTCGGGCCCAGAAACGGCCCGACCAGCCGGTTGGGGCTTGGAATGTGCGGGCGGTCTGTTTGGGGAGCTCGAATCCGGTGGAGTCGAGCCTAGGACTGTTGGCATTTGCGAGAATGCCTGGCCAAACTGTGTAGTCACATCTGTTGACGAATGTGAACGTAGTGCCTGAAACGCCTGCAAGAAAATACAGAGAGAGTGAGAGAGAGAGAGAACCAACGTGTTAACTTGTTAGTGAAATTTTAAGTTTTGAGAGGGACCCAAAAGAAATGAAGGCAAACCAATGAAGCTAGAGAGCGAAAGTTGTAGCTTGTTAGTGAAAATGTAAGTTTTGTGAGCGACCCAGAAGAAATTAATGCAAACCCATGAGGAAGATTGAGCGAGAGAGAGTCAAAGATTGAAGCTTTACCTCTGAAAGTGAAGAATAGTAAAAGAACGAGGCTCAGAACGACGTTATGTGAGCTTGAAGAGAAAGGATCCATGCGTATAAGGTTAAATGGGTCTTTTTGTGGAGCAGCTGGCCTATGAAGATGAGGTTGGTGGTGGTGGCGTGGGAGGGTTGGGAGTGAGGACAATGCAGGGGTTTAGGGGCAGAGAATCAGTGGAGAGCAGTGAAGAATGACGAATGGAGAATGGGAGAGAAGGTATGGGGGTTCAATTACAAGCTAAAAACGACAATTTTGGTTTGTGTGGGAACACTTGGAGACTGAGCTTGAGAGATACAAATCATAAAATAATAGCTCTGTCAGTCTCTCTCATGATCTCTCTCGTCTTTATTATGGTTCCCTCTCTTTTTTTTTTATCTCTTTTTTTTTAATGGGAGACCGAATCTGCAACTAGGAATATGAGAAAATTTACAAATTTTATCTATAACATTCTTTAAAGGATACAATTTGGAATGCATATTGTTAATTCAAAGGGTTTATAAGCTCAAGTGGTTAGAAGTAGTTATCTTTACTTGTTCGATCATCACCAATTTACAGTCTACAAAACAAAATATTACGCACTCAATTAACAAGTAATTCAAAATTATCTTCTCAGTGTGATATATAATTTATAACTCATGTTTTTTTTTTCTTGAACTGTATATGATGATTAACGGTCAATTAACACATGTTTTTTTTCATTAAAAGATTTAACTCATGTTTATTTACCACCGAAAAAAAAAACACAAATTACCGCGGGAGCTACGCTGTTCCTGTACGCGAGTTCTTATGGTAGGACTGTGCATGATTTACTCACACCAGTAAAGTCAACAAAGAGTCGAAGCTTTGGGAACAATGGGGCCCGCTAAAGGCCTTTTTTCTTGGCTGAGCTGTCACATCATCACCCATTTACAGTCTACAGAGAAGAAAATAATGATATTCAATCACCACGTCACTGTTTGGAAGGTGGGGTCTATGAGAGAACATTTAATCTGTTGACACGTCAGATTAGGTGACCGTTGATAAGCTCCACATGGGCCAGTGGGGTTGGGTGTGTTCTTGTTCTGTTGCTAGTGCAAATTATGGGAGAAGCATTGGATTCCCTACACCTCTCTTCTTTTCATGTTTTTCCCTAATTTGAGGCTGAAAATTTTGACCCTACTAAACTTTCAAAATTAGATCAAATTTCTATATTCATGCAATAACTAAATCCCTCTTAAATGTTACATTGATATTCAAAAGTCATCTTTTAGTCACTTTCTGGTTTTTTTTTTTTAAAGGGAAAAGCAATAGTATTTTATTGAAGAAAAATGAGTAATTAGTACAAAGATTGGGTGATAGTAATTTAGTCACTTTCTGGTATTCAGGTGTATAAAAAATTGTATGATGCATCTTGTGTGGTTATATGTATTTGTAATTACTTTGTGTGGTTATATGTATTTTATTTGTGCAAATATTTAACGGGAAAATATTCACCTGAAGATCATTCGCCCTTTTAACTTCCTTCTCTCTCTTCTTTGGTACCTATAAAATCAAACATGAGTAAAAAACCACACCCCAGGGGGTGTTGGCGAAAAACCTACCGATGTCTAAGTTAGTTCGATTGAATCCTTGAGAAATAATATCTAAAAAATGGTACAGAGTTTTCTCTATAGGGGGAACCAGGTGCCCGGAGTCATGTGGGAGAGATGATTTTGGGAGGAGCCAGCGGCTAGAGAGGGATTTTGAGTGTTAAGGGTTTTTTAGAGGAATTTTGAATTACCTTGTATGTTGAATGTAGTCATGTATTTATAGGGCTCTAAGCATCTAAGGTTTTTCAAAAAATAATTCCTATTTGGAAGGAATATATATTTTTTCCCCAAATTATAGAGATTTAGTCAATTAGGGATTCGATTGAGATCAAATCTCCTAATTGATGATGATATCTTCAAATTAGGATAATATCTTAATTGATGATATTATTTTTTTAAATAAAGATAATATCCTTATTTTTAGTAATTAATTAATTTGCCAAATAAATGGGCTCAATTAATTGACCTAGGAGATATTCTTCTTATACATGTGGCACCTTTTTATTGAAAGCCGAAATATTTGTTCCCACATATTTGTAATTTCCTAAATTATAAATGCAACATATAGTCTTTATCTAAAAAAGAAATAAAAATTGTATGATACATGTATCGAGCAATCCTCATGACATCACTTGTCCGCTATTATAGATGCTATCAAATTTTCTCTTTGATTATGTTTGAATGTTAAAAAAAATGGGAGAAATTTTCGTGCATCGATTTTAGATCTTTTTTTTTCCTTCATATTTTTAAGACTTAAATGCGGTTTTGCCCCATGAACTAACTCATAATTGTCAATTTACACCCTTGATTATTTTGTTGGTAAATTAAGAATACGAATTTGTTAAAAATAGCCAATTAGGTGCATGCTATTAGATTTTGAATGATTTCATCCATTTCTTACGGAGAAATTGACAATTATGGGTTAATTCATGGGGCAAAACTGCATTTAAGCCTATTTTTAACATTGCGTAGCTTGCGGATTGAGAAAGAATAGGAAAAATAAATTGGTACAAAACACAACAGAGCCATATAGATCTGAAGTAGCTGTGATTTGAAATTTGTATGAAACCTAAAAAGCTACATGTAAATTCTTAAACTTTTCAACTATTGACCCCTCAATAAATTGAGTCTAGCTATTTTCATTCAAAAGAGATTGTAAGTGTTTTGTAGTCATACCATACGAATCTATCCGATTTCCCTAAAAACACGAAACACCCCACATCCTTCAAAAGACATTGCAAGAGAAGAGCAATGCTTCGTAAATATTGAAAATTTGAAAATGATTTAAGTGATTTTCTCATATAAAATATATGGATGCCTCAACTTATACCAAATAAACCCCAATACATAAATAATTCCCAAAGGAAGGAAAGCGTAACATCAATTATTTGACTCATTTACAACACATGGATCCAAGTAATTAAATGTTTTGCATGTGATTGTTTTGTTTTATCATAATATTGTTTTAGGGCAAGCATCATTGGGGGTCCAAACCGCACGATTGCAGAGACCATTGAACCCACTTTCTGCAAGAGAGAATTTGTCTTCGAGTGCCTATAGTGCCTATAGTGCAGGAGGGGGGGAGAATATATACCAATATATAAAGTGATCTTGTTTCTCATTTCTATCTTAATGTAAAAGTGAACTTCTTTTCTTCCCTTTATTCTTTTTAACTTTTCCTTCTTTTTTCGGTACAAAGTAGGCCAAGAGAGGGTCCTTTCTTTTCTTTAGTTTCATTTTAATTTGTTATATGATTAGGGTAAACTCTGTAGTGATTTTGCAACTGATTATATGACAAATGAGATCTCAGTGATCATAGTAAAGTTTGCTTTTTAGATGTTAAACCCTACATGGACAACTCAATAGCAAGTCTATTGCATTCTGTAAAGGTTGGTCTGTGTTCTTTTTCATTCTGATGTTTAAATTTGAGAAGTTTTTCCCACTGTTTTTTCTCTTTCGGATACAAGCGAAATTGAGGAAGGAGGAATTTGAACACAGGTCCTCGAGTGTCTAGATAAATGCACTTAATTAACCACTTAAACTACAAGCCGCTTGAAAGGTTTTCCCACCATTAAATACAATAATTGACATGGTGTTTAGACCGAGACATGTCTCTTTTAAGGATATATAGATGTAAACAGAAACAATCTCTACTTCGTATTAGTCATTTGGTTGAAATTTGAAGCCATCACATGTTCTAAGCCAGTTTGAGCTGTGAATAGTGAGCCCAAACACATGTAACTTGGGTCCTTCCCTTGCCCACCAAAGGGGCAACAAAGAACACATTAGTGGGATGAACTTTATATCCACAAACACATAAGATTCCATATATGCATCTTTACATATACACTTCCATACTAACCTAGCATCTGCATAACTACTTTATAAGCACATGCAGTTTCTCAAAAATGATGGGAATTCGGAGTTTCTCCTAATATTACAGATCTTTTGAAGAGAAAAGTCACCAGAGGCAAAATTCCAACAGTCCTATGTATTTTTGACTGAATAGGAGTGAACAAATACTTATCTACAAGATTTCTTAAGGATTTTATTTTTCCCCACAACCATTTCCGATGAACTAATAGCAAATGCAGTGAGGAGTGACGGGTGGATAGCTAGTATCGGCCATGGCACCTGCTATTCAGCCGGGATTGTAATACTTCCTTCCTGGAAACGTGAGGACCAATATTAATCATATAAAGCATGTACTAGAAGTGACCGAAACTGGAAAACAGAACGTACTGCTGCACTAGAGGCATCTGAACCATAGCGGAGGAAACACTGCTAGCACTATGGCTCCTTAAAAGTACATCATGGTCTTGTTAACCAGCGGTAGCACCGCCCCATCTTTTCGTATTTCCAGCACCTTTAGACTGCAAGTTCCATAAAAGGCACCAATGATGCTCATGAGGTTTTACTCGATTGTGTAATGTGCTGAACTCAACATATTCATTATTCTTTATGCATTATAATAGATGAAACAAACAAACAGAGCCCATTTAACTGCCTGAAGTAAAATGCAGCAAGTTGTAGGTTTAAGAGGAAATAAATATAAGCATATGAACAAAACCTTCCAGATTATTCCCACAAAAACCAGAGCAAACATGGCTTCACGAGAAGAGAAAGATATTTGGTCTGTTCATGATCCTGAGGTAATAATGCGACAAAGTGAAATTGAATATGAGACAACATTGAATCACAGACAACAAGTGGTGCAGTTGAATTGTTGTACAGGTTCAACAATTCTGGTGTTCAAGGGGGATAGGTCTTGACATCTTCCTCATGAACAACTAATGCAACTTTCCCAAATCACTGGTAAACAATTCCCAAATCACTGGTAAACAAGAGACGGGACAATACGTATATATTGTTAATATATAAATGCATACAATATGATTATCTTTAAGCACAGATGTCCCAAAGCCAATTTAAATTATATCAAACAGTGACAAACCAGATAGAAACTAACAAACAAAATGATGCACTGTATGATGTGCAGAGACGTCAACCTTCAACTCATTTTGTCTGCTATATATTGACCACATTGTGATCATAAGACTTATAGCTGAACCTTGAATGAACTAATTAGTTTAGTCATTCAGAAACAACCCCACTTGAAAATTCAACTTGTTCTTTGTCTTTAATCTCATTTTATGTTTTCTTTGTGCCACTAAAATAGCAAACTAGTAAGGATTTCGAGGCAGCTGAAAAACATTGCCATTAGCTGTAAGCAATCGTGAAAAGCCACAAATTAGGGGCTTGTAAGTTGTACCCCACACCTACAACATGGCCCTCACATTCATAGCTCAAATAATTCCTAACAAAAAATTCAACATGTCCATTTCTTGCACGATTCAAATCGTATAAATTATAATCGTTCTATTCTGACAGACAGTTTGACATGTTATGTTATAATGTGATAGCATGATTAATTAACAACCTATTATATTATCCCATGTAAAATTTTGTACTAGAAAAATTAAATAACACATCACAACATATGAGTAACATGTAATAATAATTGTACCTTGTATAAGGCAAAGGGCAGAAGATGATAATGTAGTCTGCAGAGGCGCACGTGTAAGTGCTAGTCTTGTCATCATACGCGTAGCTATACGCGCGTGGGCAAGCATGCTTAAAGAACAGCGAGAACACAGAGGGTTGACACGTGTCGGGGGTAGCGTACGCCTCACTACAACAAAACTGCGGATCCCCAAACGCTTCGCACGCGCTCCTACACGCCACTCTCCCCCCTCCACCCTCGCGCGCGACCCTCAACGCCCTGGGACACTTGCCGTTCAAGTCCACAAGACACCCCGTGGCGCTGCATCCCCCTCTTGTACCTCCACGTGGCACCACAAGCATCGGCAGGTTGTACCCGTCCACCAGGCTGACGTCATAAAAATCCAAGCCGTCGGCGCCGTTGAGAGTGAACTCGGCTAAGGTAGCCGGGGGCTTCGCGCCGCTGCCGGCACACTCGATTTTTCCGGAGCCACAGTCGCCTGTTACGCAGGAGAAGTTGGTGGGCGAGTACTCGGTGCAGAGGGTCCGGGCCCAGATCCGACCCGACCAGGCTTTGGGCACGGATAGGGTCCGGGACTTGCCGGGCTTGAGCGCGAAGCCGGTTGGGGAGAGCGGAGCCGTGTTCGCGCCGGAAAGCACACCGGGCCATACTTCGTACCGACACTTGTTCACTAGCTTGAAAGAGGCAGAGTTCACTTCTGCATGGACCAAAATTTAAATAAAAAAAAAGAAATCAAGAAATGGGTTCTGTTCCTAATGAAAAATTAAGAATTGGGTTTTGTTTCTGATGAAAAATTAAGAATTGGGTTTTGATTTTGATGAAAAACTAAGAACTGGGTTTGAGGGAAAATTAGTTTAGAGTTACCTGAGAAGAAAGAGAGGATGAGAAGTGTGAGTACAGAGGCAGAGAGTAGCAGACGATCCATTGAAGAAGAAGAAGTATGTGCAGCTGTATAGTTGAGGTTGGAGGATGCCAAAGAACTTTACTTTTCTTGCGAAGAGAGAAGGGTGTGTTTCAATTTTTGTTTTTGCTTTTGCTTTTTGGGTTAGTAAATTTTATAATCAGAATGGGATTATGACTTGAAAATTTGGTGTCTATGTTGAAGTTCTATGATTTATCCTTTTCTTAATGACCTTTTTCCAAGCACTAGAAGGATCTGTCTACCATCTTTTCATGGAAAAATTGAGAGGGGATTGGGACTGTTTTTAAACCGGCAAAAGTCGTTTTCAAATAACTACAAACAACTAAAAGCAATTGTAACACAGTTTGGTAGAGAAATAATGCTTCCAGGTTATAATTCAGAAAGCACTTTTAATAGAAGTGCTTCTACAAAAGCAATCCTAATGAGACCTGAAATCTTAGTTGTATATGTTTCAACAAGCCCGTGAACATTTGGCAGCTAGGGGTGAATTTGTATGGGACCCAGAAAAAAGGAAAGGCCAAGTGCACATGGTATGATGGTAGGAGAAGATTCTGAACTCATTATCCACCGCATTCTTCACTGCCCAAGTAATAAATAAGAGTCACTTTCTGGAAGTGGTTTCAGGTCAATTTGATTCAATGATATTATTGAATGGTTGAGCTTTTGGGGAGCCCATGAAGATGAAGGCTGTTTGGAAACGGGTTTGACTAAACCCATCTCTTGGATTTGTATGGACTAGTTCTAAAATTTGAAAGCTTAAAATGAGATTTTGTTCATAACCATTCTGAAATTCACTCCTCTGGATTTGACTATGTGATTTTGTTCAAAAGGCATGATGTGGAGAAACACAAATTTTCAATAAAGATTGGAGATTTAAGATCAAACTGAAATCATTCAAAACACAAGTTCTTCAATTTGGTCCAAATTGGTAAAGTCATTGATGTTACACAAAATTCACATCAACGATAGTTCAAAATCGAAGCTTAATGGGTTTAAGCCCTCTTCTTTTCATTGCTAACCTACAAAGTTGGAAACTTTGACAGTTGAAATGCTCATTTTCTATCACTTTGCCACATTTTCTTGGCAACCAAACGTAGCCCCAACAATGAATTTACAGAGAAGGGACGAACACTACTCACCTCGCAAACTAAAATTTCAGCTAAAGATGATTGCTTTTGAGTCTGACGGCTGATTTGATCGGAGATCGGAGCTCCGGCCACTCGAAAATTGCGAAGCTCCATTCGCAAACGTGCGCGGGGTTGGTGTAAGTGCGCAGAACAATGAGCGAAATATTTCGCGCGAGTACCGTTATAAATTGGGCTGGAATAATTTGTTGCCACGTCATATTTTGGACTATTAATAAGTAGATGATCTCAGCCGTCCATAGGATTTCATTTTTATGGGCTAGCCCATTATGGGTGAATTTTATTGGGCTACAAAAGAATGGCCTATGTAAACTTGGGCCTTAGGCCGGACTAGATTATTTTTGTTCATGGTTTTTAAGTTATTTAATTTCATGGCAAGATATTATAGGAAATTAAGAAGCAAAAAAAACTTAAAAAGTGCTAAAACTGGTTTAATTTCAATTATGATGCTAATTATGCCTCCTTAATCCTGTCTTTCCCTTTAAATTTTTTCTTATTGATCTCATAATTATGTTTTGGGAGAGTTCAAAATTGAAGGCTGCAAGCTAAATTTATCCATGTTCATAATGGCCCCTTAATAAACCTTTTGTATCCATGTCAAACCACAAGCAGCATCATACCAAATGTATGATTGTGTAGAAAATTCCTTTTACTTTGGCCTTTAATATATCACTTTGTAGTGTAAGTGTAATTTTGTGTATTTTTATTTGAATCATTAATTTGTTCAGTCATAAAGCAGAGTAAAAACAATCTCAGTCCACCAACGGAATCTAGCTTAGTTGAAAAGGTATTAACTTGTAGATCAGTGGTCTCATTTTCGAATTCCAATGACACATTGATAGTGTGAGTAGACGTTTATTACTTTCTTATGGCCCAAATAATATAATGAGTTGATTTCATTTCAAATATTTAGATCCAATTCCGAACATACACCATTATACTTTTTATTCCCTTTTGTGAGTTGTGCAGTGTCAAAGTGCAGCTTTAATGTGTTACCCAAAGCCCAATGGACACTAAAGTTGTACACATTTTCTTTAAAGATAGGATTCTTTTGGTCTTAAAAGATTGTTCTCAGAAAGGAGGGCCATAAAGGCAATCTAGCATTATTGTGTTTGCTAATATATTTCTTCGATTCAATTATTTTGCACCAATAATATAAGGCAGGCAGGCAGTTTTTTGATAATGGGGTTGACCGAAGTTGAATAAATTCTTAGCACAAACCGAAGGACCCACTTGGTGTTAGTTGAATTTCAGGTCAATGTAGGCTTCCAAAAAGCCAAATTGGTGCTTCTCCGATCAGCAACTGTTAGAAACTGTTAACAAGAATAAAAGAAGAGCAAAAGTTTGACCAATTATACAGCTTTAATCATTACCAAGGATAAGCCCTTGTATAGGAGAGTTTAGGATATGCCCTAAATCTAGGAAGAAAAAGAATGTTTCGAACTTGGGTTAATTTTGATCGTAATTCGCATTCACAGATAATATAAACAAGTGGTTGGTAGAATTCTGACAAGAGAGCGTTATACAGTATTTGAATACATATACTTGCATCATATCTAAACTCGTCATTTGAGTTAACTAAAACTAATCTAATAAATATGATGAAAATGTTGAAAGAGGATTGATGAGCTATATATATGATGAGTCATTTGATACGTCAATTTCTTGCATACTTGTATGGATCAAAGAGGGTGAAGAAATTATTGTTCATCATAGGCTGACTTATATCCAATGGACCAGCTCGCGTGCTAAGAACCTTTACCACGCCGAGGATTATTAGTTGGTTGCTAATTTTGGTGTTCCTCAACATTGTGAAAGATTTTGGTTTAATCTCAATCATATGGCCGTTGTGTTTTGGTCCCCTACCTTATAGGCCTTCAAATTTGGTTCGGAAACAAAATTCATGGCAGTTAACATGCTTTGTCTAGATTTTTCACACATGTGCCATCCCTTTCTAAATTTCAGAATTTTATGAGACAAAATTTCAAGCCATCAAACATGCTTTGTGCCCTTGTCTAGGTTTTAACTTTGGCCATTGTACTAGTTTATGAATATAGAACTCCCCTGTCTTCATTTGCAATGTTGGTGTGATTAAGAGCCAATTAATTATCAACTTATGGATATAAGAAATTGGTATTACACATGGTGTGAAATGCCTAATTAAGGACATTCGAGTGAGAAATTGCCAGCTGTTTATGTTTGTGGGTTCCACGAAGTCTCATATAGATCAACCTTTGGATCTTCTGATTGTTAGCTTGAAACTGTCTAAAGCAATAGATTATATACATCTCTCTTATCACATGACTAGTAACGCGATGAGAAATAGACACATAATTGCATATATAACTATTACACCTAAAATTTTATAATAGTTTTTCTCCTTGTTAGAACATCATTTTGCTCTTATGTTGCTTTCAAACGTTCTATCAACTAGTACTGGTCCTCCTAGGTGATCTGACAGGAAATTCAAACTCAGTCAATCTGATCTCTCTCATTCATACGATGAATATACACCATCAAAGCCTCCAAACGATAAGATGTTACAAGAGCAACCATATATGCAGAATGATAGTTTGGTCAGGGCTGCACCAGATTTTCAGTCAAGGAGACACAAGCCACAGGGAATGTTTCTGGTCCTAGAGACTAGAAAGCATAACCAAACAAGGAATTGGGTGAGGGTGGCCCAACAAAACCCATGAATATGTCACCCTGCACCCAAACACAACTCTTTTTAGACCTGAATAACGTGGTAATATGTTAATAATATCATCACCTGAACTGCTTCTGCATAAATGGTTTGCCCTAATTATTTAAATAAAGACAAACTCATTATGGTTCATCATCATTAGGTGGAAGATAATCAATCTCTCCAGGTGATCACTTTGTTCGAATTCTAAAAGAGCTGGGCATAAAAATCTTCGCAGCATCGAAAGAAGAGAAAAGGAGGAGGAAATTATGTGTTCACTCAGTTAAAACGTCGGACTCAACCTTATTCTTGTTCCTTTGTGTATTGTTTTTTTCTTTTTGGGTTGTAGAGTTATTCTGGTTTGGTTTAGGAAGGCTGTCTGTTTCAAATTCAATTCACATGTTTGTGTTAATGGGGAAATCAAAGGACGGTCAAAGAAGCACACTGGGGTATCAGAATCTTGTATGTTTCATATCCTAAAATCTTTTGCTGCAACCCTATTTTGATAACTCACGGGTTGCAATGCCAAGTTTTTGTTGTTATAAATGAATAGATTAAAGAGAATAACTAATTAAAAAAAGATTTAGCTGGTAGAGAAGACCTAGTTGGTAGTTCTTATAGCAAGTACATCCAAGTTCCGAACTAAGGTCAAAAGGATTATGCGACATATTATAAATCGCGAAATCGTGGGTTGTTTTCGCATTAGGTAATTTAGATTGATATATAGGAATGTAGAAAGAGATAGGTTTTTATATTGTCCATAATGTGATTGTGGGGTAAATTTAGGTATAAAAAAAAGTAAGAAAGTTCGAGTGAGTTTTATTTCAATTGAGAAATTTGGGAATTGGGGTTTGGGCCTTTGGAGCGGTGGAGAGGTTCTCGAGTCCACAAAGCATTGAGATAGCAAGCAAGCCATAGATAGAGGCCATGTGAAAAAAGCAGCTTTCTTCTTCTTGTAAAGCGACCACGCCCGTTTGGCTGCAATCATGTGGTCTACTATGTTATAATTTTTTCCCCCTCACTCTTTCCCTTGCTTATTTCTTTTTTTATCCCCCCTTGCCCCCATTGCCCCCCTCCCTAAGTACCTTGTTCTTCTACAACATTATGAAATGTTAATAACATTCCTTGGCTTTTGGGTTTTTACCATCTTACCCTTTACCAAACTCTAGCCCCTAATTTTAAGGTCATCAATGAATTCTAATATATCATGCATATTAGACGCATAAGAGAATGGTATATGCATAGTTTCATGTTGATATAGGGTACCTAATTCTTGACTTGGATGCAACTATTGCTATGTAAAGGGAATAGGTTTTGTATGGGGAAAATTCTTGTATTTATTAAGAGAAACACTATTCACACTCTCAAAAGACTTGTTTGTAAGTGCAAATAAAATCATCATAGAAAGTATTATTTGCATTATTCATCTACAGAATGACAAGAAGTTTACTTAAGAGCGCAATAACAATGCCAACTCGCCGTGGATTGAAAGAGTATCCAATAAATACCTCATGTCTAATGAGGATTGTCATGTGAAGTTCAATTGCAAGACAATTGCAATCAACATTTCTTTACAAAAAGGCATTTGAGACTTATCTTTCTGTCGAATTAGTGTTGTTATTCACAATCAACGAGAGACGTGTGATTTGGACTTGAGACATTTTCTTTTGTAACATTAAAAAGAAAAATACAACTAAATCAATAGCTATTTAACATACACATCTTTCGAATACCCAAGGGTAAGTAAACAAGTGTAATCAGTAAGGTGATTAAGTAAGCAAACAAGTGTAATAATCATCTGGCCGGCTCGGGAAGCGGGTAGACCCACTCGTGCGGACAGGCCACTCACGCTCCACAAAATAATTAGTTTAATAAATAAAATCTTATATACACTAATTTTATATTACTTTGCACTAATTAAATATTATGAGCTAAACAACGACAAAATTTAATTACCAAAAAGGGCCCGAGAACCAGAAGATTTCGTCAAAGCCACAAAGCCCAAAAAGGGATTAACTCGCTTCCCAAAACCCCTCTCAAAAATACCTTTCAAGAACAGAGAGAGAGAGAGAGAGGCTTTCTCAGGCTTCGAGAACCAGAACCCACCTCGTGTCTTGTATATATATACCCCTCCCTCTCTTCACTTCATATACACCCATCCTCAAATCAAACCCACCTCACTCACCCCTGCATTCAATCAAATACTAGCTAGCTATAGTGTTCTGTTCAGGTTTCTTCATAGAACTTCAAAAGCATTGTTTTGAGTAAAAGGAAGAAATTGAAGTCATGGCTGCTTCTGCAGAAAAGGTGGCGGACACAGTGATTGTAGGAAGTTATGTGGAGATGGAGACTGAAGGGAAGCCCAAGAGCGTCAAGAGCAAGCTCTCCAAGTTCTTTTGGGATGGTGGCTCTGCTTATGATGCTTGGTTTAGCTGTGCTTCTAATCAGGTTAATTACTTTGCTGCTTCTATCAATGATGTGATCTTTTGTTCATAAATATGTTTTCTGTTAATAAATTTGTGTTGGGTTTTTGCAAAAACTTTCAGGTGGCTCAAGTTCTGCTTACTTTGCCATACTCGTTCTCACAGCTGGGGATGTTATCAGGCATTCTCTTCCAGCTCTTCTATGGCTTGCTGGGCAGCTGGACAGCTTACCTTATCAGCTCCCTCTATGTTGAATACAGAACCAGAAAAGAAAGAGAAAAAGTTGATTTCAGAAACCATGTCATCCAGGTGGTTAATTTCAACCAAATTCTCTCTCTCTCTCTCTCTCTCTCTCTCTCTCTCAATTATCTTTGTTTATCTAGAAATCTGACATGGGTTTTTCATAAAAAATGGAAATCAGTGGTTTGAAGTTCTTGATGGGCTGCTTGGAAAACACTGGAGGAACGTGGGCTTGGCATTTAACTGCACATTTCTTCTGTTTGGATCTGTCATTCAACTCATAGCTTGTGCAAGGTACCAATGCATCTTCTGACCCCTAGTTTTAACTCTATCTTCATTATTTAACTACAATTTTTCCAATAAACAAAAAGAATGTATTTTTTGTTGGGTATCTTTCTAATTTCTAATGTTTTGTTGCAGCAACATATATTACATAAATGATAATCTGGACAAGAGAACTTGGACTTACATCTTTGGAGCATGTTGTGCAACCACTGTCTTCATCCCTTCATTTCACAACTACAGAGTCTGGTCCTTTTTGGGCCTTGTTATGACCACTTACACTGCTTGGTACCTCACCATTGCCTCCTTCCTTCATGGCCAGGTATATATATATATATATATTTAGTTTTCTTTTTCTTTTTCTTAATTTAACTTAATTAATACCTAATTCAATTATACTTATACACTCCTGAGTCCTGTTAATGCTCTTCCGTCAATTTCTTTAAGTTTCGGCCTTGTATGCTCCCCTCGGAACCCAAAAACGTTGATTTCTCGTATCGTGCTGATAATTTGTGTGTTGATTTTGATCATAGGTTGAGGGAGTGAAGCACTCTGGTCCAACTAAGTTGGTGCTATACTTCACTGGGGCCACAAACATCCTCTACACTTTTGGGGGACATGCTGTTACTGTGTAAGATATGAAACCCTCAGCTCAGATTTATAATATTGGATTCTCTTTTTCTGCTATTTTTTTTATACAGCATTTGATATAATTATTTTAGACATTGAATATGAAATCTAGTGTTCAACATTAATGTTCTATATGGGGACAAACTTGAATCGATGCGGTAAAATAACACATTTTTAAAATGCATACAGCATTTGATATAATTATTTTAGACATTGAATATGAAATCTAGTGTTCAACATTAATGTTCTATATGGGGACAAACTTGGAATCGATGCGGTAAAATAACACATTTTTAAAATGCGGACAAAAAACCCATGTCCTTGTCTAAATTTTTTTAAGGAATTTTCAGTGTGTTAATGGGACAAAAATAAGCACAGAACAAGGACTTCAACGTCATTTTGAAAATGACTAAACATTCTCCTCTTGGGGACATGATCTAACCAGGCGATCTAAAATGACCAAATCTTTATCAACAAAAATTAAAGAAAATTACAACTCTTATTTATTTATTTATTTTTAAATTTAAGAAAATTCCCATGATGCCCTTATTAGGCGTGGGAAGCAAAAAGGCCTTATTTCTTGGGAACATACCCATTTCCTTTTTCATGTAGAAAGCCAGTACTCTTTCCTACAAGTTGCTTTTGTTTTATTTTGTTTTGTTTTGTTTTGTTTTGTTTTTGTTTTTTTTTTATCATGAAAAAAATCAGTAATAATAATAACCCATGTTATTTATTAATTAATTGTTAAAGATAATGAGTTTATTTAATTTGGCGTGGGCAATGGAATTTGCAGGGAGATCATGCATGCGATGTGGAAACCTCAGAAGTTCAAGGCCATATATTTATATGCTACCCTGTATGTGCTGACACTGACGCTTCCCTCTGCATCGGCAGTGTATTGGGCATTTGGAGACATGCTTCTTAACCACTCCAACGCCTTCTCTCTCCTCCCCAAATCTCCCTTCAGAGACATGGCTGTTATTTTAATGCTCATCCACCAGGCATGCACGCATATACACAACTCTTTAGACTATACGAATTAACCTAATCATCGATCGAGACTCGTAGTCTAAGACTGTGTGACAAGAGAACATTTCCCGTGATCTAAAATGTATGTGTTTTTCGATTTGCAGTTTATAACATTTGGGTTTGCATGCACGCCACTATACTTTGTGTGGGAGAAGGCCATTGGCATGCATGAGTGCAAGAGCTTGTGCAAGAGAGCAGCAGCAAGATTGCCTGTGGTCATCCCCATCTGGTTCCTGGCCATCATCTTCCCATTCTTTGGCCCCATCAACTCCACCGTAGGATCACTCCTTGTCAGCTTCACAGTCTACATCATCCCAGCTCTGGCCCACATCTTCACGTACAAATCCGCTGCTGCAAGAGAGGTACCCACTCTAACCCTAAACATGCTTGAATTCACAGAACTGCCACTTTAGCCTGCATAGCATATATCTTTAAATCTGCAATGCCAGATGGGAATTTCTGAATCACGTACTTTTTGGTCAGCCTTAGTGTTTTCAGTAATAAATTTGACCAAACAAAACAGAAATTGAATTCTTTAATCAATTTGATCATCATTAAACATATAAAATTAAATAAATATATGAACATATAAAATAAAACAGAGCGGTAGCGTGTGGTCACAGTCTAGCAGACCAGACCCGGCTATCTCTCTCCTCATTTTTTTAACCTGTATGTATGATCCATTTTGATGACTGGGACTTGAACATTTTTCTGTTTGTTCCCACTTCAATCCATCATAAATGAAAAAAGAAAACGCAATCAATATCAAACGGTGCAGAAAAAGCACGAGATTCTTGCTGCACCAATGGGTCAGAATATCAAACATGTTGGTACTGGTACAGTGATACACATACTGATACTCCTTTATCTGGGGAGCACTCTTAAAATCTTCAACTGTGGGTTTTACCTTTTATTGATAGTTGATGCATTATATGTGCCGTACACAGCCTGATGCCCGAAACACTGTATGTGTGGTCCCCTTTGTGTTAAAGCATAGAAATATCCGCTTTTTAATCGCCTCTGTATACAATGTTTCTCTCACGACAACCAATCACGTACCGAACACATGAAGGAGTTAAAATTTACTACCTTTAGCTATGAGTTTGTTGTTAATTTGATTACAATTTGACTGATGGGTTGTGATGAACGGTTTGTGATTGCAGAATGCAGTGGAGAGGCCACCAAGATTTCTGGGAGGGTGGATTGGTTCATATACAATCAATGTGTTTGTGGTGGTGTGGGTTTTCGTGGTAGGGTTTGGATTCGGTGGGTGGGCGAGCATCACAAACTTTGTGCACCAGATTGACACATTTGGGCTCTTCACCAAGTGCTACCAGTGCCCTCCACCACCACCACCCATGGTCTTCAACACAACTTCAGCTCCTGCTCCAATCCACCACCCTCACCCTCACCGGCCTTGATTTGTCCACTCTCACTTTCGATTATTCCACGCCTAGTGCCATGGGCACAATATAAAATTAAAAAAATTAAAAAAATATATTGTATGTGGTGCCCAAATGAGCATTTTCACCCCCTTCAAAGTACACAACCCTATTTTTCTCTTTTAAATTTTCCGCATCGGTTTTAGCTTTTAGGGTCACTGCCATGAGTCCAAAAAAAAAAGGGGGGGGGGCAGAAAATGTATGAAATATTTGAAAATCAAATTTGTAATCTTTCTATATAACATGCCCCTAGGGTTTTGTATCTCCATTTCTCTTGAAAATTTTGAATCCCATATGGTTTGGATGAGTATATTTTTTGTTGTTAAAGTTTCAAGAATTGAATTTTTAATGTCACAAAATGGTGGATGGCAAGAATAAAAGTGAAATACACTCTCCTGCCCTACATGCATATTTAGGCAAGCAATGGATTTGATACTTCAACAGAAGATCAGTCTATAATAAATAAATAAAATTCATTTATAAAAACTCCATAATAAATTGAGGCAAATAATTCCAACTATCTAATAAGGATGTATATGTACTTTAATTGCTTTGTTATGTTAGATAATCACTAGACAAATTTTACTAGTTGTTGAACATTTTGACTCCAAATTTTTTTTTCCCATCCATTACTTTTGAGCAAAATATACAATTTGACTCCAAGTTCAATTTCAGAAGCTTATTATCACACCCTTGTCGTGATGAATTTCTACCTCCGCCACTATGTGCCATAACGTAGGTGAGCACAAAGTAAACAATGTGCACCTATGTGTGTGCCTGTTTCTCTCCGAGCATATAAAGAGGTTGTACACTAGAAAAAATGTTGGGTTGATAGATATACACATTCTTTGACCCAATTCCTTTGATGTTTTTGGTCACTCAACATTTTGAGCACTTATGTATGTCAGATTGCCCATCTTGAGCTTACGAAATTTACCTACTGGATTCTTTTGACAGTACACATATATGATATACATCGCTTTTAGATTTTAAAATTTTCTGGTTTCCAATGATGTGTAATGTATCGAGTGCTTCCCACTTTACTCAGACCTTGAAAACGAAAATTCATCGAGTAAAAGGCATTGCATGCAGGCTATCCAGCAGGTACAGAATATATGCCGAAACTGAAAGCATCTCTCTTTCTCTACACCTTCTCTGAAACCCCAGCTCGAGTTCCATGATTATGAGAGCTCCCCAAGAAAAATAACCCAAAAAAGATTAAAGAACAAGGGAAAACAAGTGTGCCTGACGTAAGGGGTGTATGATAAAAGTCTGCTTTGGTTGGGTGTGGAGATAAAATTCTGGTGATGCGGGTGGGAATCTAATAATCTATCATCTCGCATCACAGAAGTGTCGGAGTAAAAGCCACAAAGTTGTTCACAGTTCACTTTTTTTTCTTCTTTTTTTTATAAAAAATTTAAATATAATAATTTAATTTTTTATATTATAAAATAGTCCATAAGTCACTTTAGATTTAGCATGCGACCCCAAGAAAATAACAAAAGCCTCGTGCCTTTTCAGTTAAAGCCCCATTTTATTTTTGTCTCTTACATGGCTATATTATATAATAATGTTGTTGCTTTAATCGATAGCTAGAGAACAAGACAATGATTTCAATTTGGAAGACAAGCCGGTGATTTCAGTGGTGGAATTATGTTGAAATAGCCTCTCTTTTTTTTCTTTCTAATGTCATGACTGTTCTTGCTTTGCTTTTGGTTCTGCTTTCACCAATAAATAATATGCATGTGCTCCAATTCCATTAGTTATTTATACCTAATTAGCATCTCGAACAACGCTAGTCAAAATTTGGTTAAATTTGAGACCTCAAATGACACAAAAACGATATTGGGAGATGGGGGAATCAAATCTAGGACCTCGACATGGGTCGACCACTTGAGCTACAAGCCATTTATAGTCGTTATTCGTTTTATACTAGCAACATTGTTACATTGATGTAAATTTTCATCTTCATATACATGAATTCATGTTCTTCTTTTAGGACCACTGAAGTCTATTCTTCCCCATCACAGATGATGAACGTGTATCAATTCTTGTTGTACAACTGTGAAGAAGGAGTTATTACGAAATTGGCATAATGGACAGGGGAGTACGAAACCAAACCAACGAGCTTCGAAAAGGCCATCCCCATTCAAAACAGTCCACAAAGCCAAGTCCAGCAAGGAAATAATTATCAAAGAGATTTAAAGTAAAGCCCCATCAACTTAGTAAGGCCTCACTTCCAATCAAGCCCATCAATTCAACCTGGTCCACATGAGAATTGACAAATCCAATCGTACATTATTTTTTCCGGACGACAAATCCAATCGTATCTATCCAAATCTGTCTAGAAAAATAGAAAATGTCGACCTTATCCAGTTTAGTACAAACACAATTTAGCTATTATTCGTTTACCTTTTTTTTCTTTTTTGGTTGAGAAAAAGCGAGAATTTTATTTAGATTAAGGAGTACAAAGAAAAAATACTGTAAAGAAAATCATCCCAATAGTTATACGACAAATACGAGCAAAACCTTCCACTAGTTGTCACCAAGGTCTAAAATATCGATGATATCGGAAATATCGGTAGTCCAAAAACACGGAAATTTCAATAGAAATATCGGGATATTATTAATATCGATAAAAATTGAATAAAAACCACGGAAATTATAAGAAAAACTTGTAAATTTTTATTGAAACTTTAGAGGATGTTTATTTAGTTAATTATCTATTAGTTTATCACAAAAAATTGGGAGGAAAGCGTTGCATGATGAGTTTAACTAATTTAAGTTAATTATATAGCGAACTGACAAACACGTGTAGAAAATATATAGTAATTAATGAAAGAAGATTAAACACACTATAATTATTTATATATAATGATTTACTACAATATTCTACACTTAATACCACATCCCCTTTGCGTATTATCACAAACACATAAGCTACATGATGGTTAAGGTGTTGGATGAGTGAAATGACAAGGGTTCAAATACCCTTTACGTGTGTGCTTTATGTTTTTCTTTCCCTTTTTTCCATTACTTCAATATTATAGTAATATTGTAGCGATATTGCTAAAGTGTGAGCGAAATTATCAACATCGATATTTTCCGATATTTATATAATATGTGTATGAATAATATCCGTGATCCGAAAAAACAATAATATCCTCAATATTTTCGTCGATATCATCAATATTTTAGACTTGTCAAACATATCTCCCAATCACAAACTTACCCAAAAAGCTTCCTAACTATAAACCAACAACATCACACTTTGGCATTTTACCCCAAAAGAATTTAACAAACCAAAAAGTGCCAGGGTAAATTCCAGGATGAAATTTAAGGGAAATCACTCACATGACTAACAATTGATTGATGTGTAGGATTTACAAATCACTCATTCAAAAACTCAAATTCCAAGATTAACCAATAACCTCTTTCTTTGCGATTTAGTTGGGTTAAGAAAAACAACTCACAAAGAATCACTCTCCTTCCCCAAAAGTATTTAAGTATTGGTTACATATTTAACATAGATGCAAATCCAACGGTCCATATGTAACCAAACTTGAAATTCTTAACGGAGAATCCCCCCTCTTCCACCTACCTACTTAGGTTATCAAAACAACCAAAAAAGCTAAAGTAAATGTACGAACTACAAGAAAAGTGTGAAGAAAAGGGCATGAACGAGTCGACAAAGCAGATATGAAACAACAAGAGGGCCACAAACCCAGAACAGTAGGGTTCTATAATTGGGTGAGAAAAACATTATTGTTGTGCTTTTTGCATCAATTGGTCTGAAATTGGATGAGAAATGCATTAAGAGCGGCCCTTCAAATTCATAAACCCTAACCCTAATGCTATGATGGGGGCCGTCTGTACCGCCATGGAAACCATGCCAAAAATAAGAACACAATAAACAGAGGTGCAGAGTATATTAATGTGTATGAATCATAGTCCAACCACTAAACATAAAGCCACATATTCTGCCAAAATACCAAATCCTCACTACTAAAATCTTAAAAATAAGAAAGAAAAAAAATTACTACATCAAAAGCCATCAATTCATGTTTCCATGGAATGAAAGAACCAGATGACCCACAAAACCGACAATCCTCATACTGAAAATGAGTCAACATTTCTTAGAAAAAAAACCCGACTTAATTAAACGAAAGAACCCAGAAACAGCAGCGGCAGAGACACTAAAGGTCAAATGACAGATCTAAGACCTGTTAGGGCACTCCCTTGCGAAATGGCCAGACTCACCGCATCCGTAGCAGCCACCGGAAGAACCACCACCGCCTCCGCGACCACCACCTGAATAACCGCCTCCACCGCCATAACCGCCGCCGGATCCGCCCTGCTCGCAGTCCCTAGCCATATGCCCAGACTCACCGCACTTGAAACAGGCGCCACCACCGCCTCCTCCGCCATATCCACCGCCACCGCCATATCCACCGCCACCACCGCCGTATCCACCGCCTCCATAGCCACCGCCTCCTCTCCCACCTCTACCCCCTCCGCCTCTTCCACCTCCACCATTAAACCCATACCCCCCGCCGCCGCCACCTCGGCCTCTACCACCACCACCGCCGCCACCACCACGGCTTCCCTGAACGGGACCCTCCGCCGGTCCAGTCACATCAACGGCCTTGGTGCGGCCGTCGCTGTCAGATTCGATCTGGAACTCGACGGACTCGCCATCGCCGAGAGTCCTAAACCCCTCCGTTCGGATCGAGGACTGGTGGACAAATAGATCGTCTCCGCCATCGTTGGGGGTGATGAAGCCAAATCCCTTCTGATCATTGAACCACTTGACGGTACCGCTCAGTCTCTCACCCATCTCGTCTCACTGAAATCTCTCTCTCAAACCCTTGGAAACCCTAACCCTAACAAACCCACACGGCTCTCTCACTCTAGCACAAAATGGTCTTTGGGGCTGAGCGATTGACAGCTACTTATACATCCAAATCGAGAGAGAGGGCTTGATTGCCACGTTAGCTCTTAATGGGCCCCGCGAGAGCCAAAGCGACGGCTCCCTTTGCACAACCCAAACCGACGGCTGGGGATATTCGTTATTTTTTCTTGTTTATTTGGGCCGTTGGATTGGTCCCTGGAGATGGATAGGATGGAATTCGAGTAGTCTGTTTCATTGGTACCCCCAAAATATCTACCCTCTCTCTTTTTCCCAGGTTCTTCATGTTATTACCTTTTTACCCAAAAGGGTATTTGGGGAAATGTGGAACAAAAGAGGCCAGGATGTCGACGCTGAATATCCAATTAAGGTAATTTTGGTGGGAAATCAGATGATGAAAT